GTGAAATAGTCGAATGACCTTTCGTTCGTGATACGAGGGTTTTACTTTAGAGTGTTTGCCACCTGCGAGAGTTCGGTCGAGTGTATAGTCGGTGGAAGAAATATAGCGAAGTCGTAAATGAAAGATCGAACGCGACATTTTTCGGTTTGCGGTTGGGATCGAGTTTAATGACCGAGGTTTCGAGTCCTTATTTTCTCAACTTTTTTCTCCATTTGCTGGAACATGTGAACTTTGACATGTGATCGATTTTACGACCTACATACATTTTTCTAAATTAACAGCTTGATAATTTTCTAGGGGCTGTCCAAGTTTGCTTCCTTTTTGCTTCATCCCTTAAGTTCATGCCGAAGGGAGTCCAAGGAAATACTGAATATGACGCGTGACCGATTTTACGAGCTTCTCAATTTTTCAAATTTGCAATGATTTCTGCTCAGTGACGATACTGCCCAAGTTTTCTGCATATTCAATAAGCGCCCTAATATTAGGCCAATTGCACAAGTTCACAAGTTCGAAAGCGAAAAATAATTGAACGAAAATGAAAGGAAGCACTGTAACGATGATATAACGGTCTTACAGAAAAAGCAAGAAATAGAAAATTTTTATGGAATTTGAAGGTTCGTTAGAAATATCGGTGTAAACTATAAAATTCGGTAAAAACTTGGGGAATTCTGCCAGTAAAGTGGCAAAAAGTCATAAACAATGATAAAAATGATTTCGACGATCGATCCGTTTTCTGTCGGAAAGAATGAACTTCTCCGCCTGATACTTAGGAACGGGAGTACACGTATACGCAACAGCCTAGCATTTTCCACCGTTCTCGTTGGGCGTCCGCTTTACACGTTGGTCGCGCGCATGAACGGGAAAGAAAAAAAAGGAAACGCAGGCTGTTGACAGTATTACGGTGAAAGTTTGAAGGAAAACACGATGTCCCCTTTTCAGCGATTTGCTCGCGTTTCTCGAAGGGATGAGAGGAACGTGTTCTCTACGTGCACGTTGCATTAGGTCGCGTTAAAGCCAGCTGAACGTGCAACGTTCCAGCTGAATTGAGTGACCTGGAACGTAGCCTGCTACTACCCGCAGCTTTCCCAGTGAAATGTAAACACCGTGTGAAATAAAAAATCCTGCTCCCCCTCTCTCCGACCGTGCTGCTGTCGATTAAATTAACAATTAGGAAATTTTTCGACGCGCAACCACGCCGAGAGAATTCGATCCGTTTCGCGCTACAGTTTCCACTTTCCAGCGGAACGAGATTGCGAAAAGATAACACGAACCGTGTGTACCGTTCGCATTTGTAATTCGCGATTCGGTTAGAGTTTCGCGTACCGTCGTTGCCGGATCGCAGGTGAACGAAAATAATCGAGTCGAGTGGCTGAGATAGTTGGGATGCGCGGGGTTTTGCGCGTGGCGCTCGTCGGGCACGATTACCGCTGCACCGATTAACCTAATCGTGCCTCTATTTCATCGGGATTAGGTACTTTAATCACTTTAGAGAAGTAATCCACTAAAAGTCCTGGGTAAAATGAACGTTCGAAACGCGTCCTTTCGCATATTTAACGCGGTGCGAGTGGAAATTGTTTCGCGTACAACCTCCTGTGCAGGTGGTGGGGAAAAAAACGAAAGGTTGATCCGAAAAATAAAGTTGCCGCTTTCGCATCGGTGAATAACGTTGAAGCTCTATTGGCGATGTGGTTGGAGGCAAATTTTTCCGGCTGAAAGAGTGGAAAGGAAGTTAGATTTTAATTCGCATGTTTGAACAAACAGAAAAATAGTGTAAATAAAGGCGGGGAGAAAATTGGCCGGCTCGAGGCTTTCTATAATTCTCCTTTGTTCGATAACGATCCGGCAACTGTCAGCGGCGCGGATTTGCCACGGGACGTTCGCAAACTTTTTCCCGCTTCCGCCAACTTGGCGAAATTACTCGGTTTTCCCTAGGCGCGAATTATACGAGCTCTGACGTATCCGCGGAGCGAAATTAACTCGGCGATTGTCGCCGCGTCTGGGAGCACAGAGAGGAAGAGGGTTTGGGTTATCGAGACACTTCCGAACGCGACAGGCGAAATTGAACTTTTCCGAAAGACTGCGCCCGAATGATCCGCGGAGGTGCACGCGAGGACCCTATCGCCAGAGACGCCGCGGCGCCGGAAAATTCATATCGAGCTTCTGCCCCCTCTCTCTGTCTGTGTCGAGTGTTGTTAATAAACAGCGCGAGGCACCGCAAAGTTCATGTTCCCGGAGATATGGCCACTTTAAGTTTTACCGGTGTCTCGTTTCGTCGAAAAGTGGCTCTTTGCGAATGAGAAGAGGCGAAATTTCTGGGCGTTTCCTTAAGCGGCGCGCCGGGGAATTTATATCGGCCGGAGCGGTTCGGGGGCAATAAAAAGGGCTTAATAATCGCGGGCCGGCCAACTTCTTGTTTCCGAGATACGAGAGACCCGTCTTAAATTTCGCGAAACTCGTCTCTCCTCGAAAAGCGCTTATGCGCGCGCGGAGTGCGCGCGTTTAACGCCGACCGTTTTCCGCACGTAGCAAATTCACTTAGCAGTTTCGCCCTCGCTGCCTCTCCGCGCGGAGAATTCAGGACAGCCCGCGTTTCGTCGCGTACAGAACGTTTGGAAATTTACAGTGCGCGGCAATTGCTTCTTCGGTGCTCGCCGGGATTAAGCGAAACAGAGATCAGGTGGGCGAGTCGGTGAAAGGGGATCTGATAAAAGGAAAGGCTAGGTCGTTCGTTCAAATAAGAGAAATAATGGAGAATGTACGTACCTGGAGTACCTGGCGCACTCGTAAACTATTTCGGGAGCGGCGTTCGGCGCCTTTATTCGTGGATAGTTGCAGCGTCGAAAGGAACTAAAGTACGCATCCGCCTTCCCCAGCAGTCGTCCCTGAAACACACAGAGCAGACCAGGCGCGTGCAGACATAGAGAGAGAGACGCTTTTCACGGATTTCCACGGAGAGACTAAAGAGCGGGCGGCCAAGGTTAAACATCCCCTCGGAATATATTACCAGTTTCGCGGCGGAAACTGTTGCCGTGGGTGTATTTTCGTCTCGGCTCGTTCGAAAACCGAGTTAAAAGTTGGCTCGTCGACCGATTCGAGTCAAAGTCGAGGGAAAGTAACGAGGTTTAACGAGGAGTTTTGCTTGAATTTCACCGCGAATCGGGGCCGTGGCTTTCCGCCGAAGGTTTCCAGTCGAGTTAACGCCGCGCTCGGTTCGAGCCACCGAGGATCGTTACTCTTTATATAGCTGGATTCGCGATGGTTTTGTATTAGAACTCGATTCGGGAGAAAAACCGTTGATCCGGTGCCAAGTTGTTTCTTCCTCGAGAGATTCCTCCGCTGCCCTGCGCGGACGGCTCTCTTGCTCGCGTCGCAAACGTAAAGGCGCGCCTCGCCTCGTTCTCCGCAGTGAAATAAGTGGTTAAAAGTCGGACAGGATTTCCTGGGACATTATTCTTCGCGCGAGGACAAGCGGGAAATTCGATTGTTCGCTGGAAAGCGGCCGATCGAGCACCGAATTCACCTCTATCGACCGACTGGAAGAGGACCGAGGTTATTTTCGAGAAGATCTCTGTTAACCGCGCCGGCTCGTGAGATTTCTCCTTAAATGAACGGGATCGGTGCTTCTTGGGGGACGCGCGAACACGTAGTACACGGGCGAAGAAGCGGGCGAGCGAGCGAGTGAGCGCAGGAAGGCAAATGTAAATTCACTTATGCATTTATTCATCCCGCTACTCGAGTATTTTCAAAGCCATTTAGAGGCCCCTTCTGCGTTCCTCTGCGTTCCTCTGCCTTCAGAGGAGGATATACTATACGTATACGTTCCGAAGGGACACTCGTGCACGGACGGTGACGTCGAAATTATTCATCGGCTGTTTTTACGTCCGTTTCTACCCCGCGCCCTTAACGACGAGCGCGACGAGCGCCGAGAAGCGAGCAATTTAATGGACCGACTCATATTTCGAATTTCTGATTTCATCCCCGTCGTTTCGCTTCTCCCCGGCTTCGAGCACTATTAATCGAAAGAAACGCGTCTTTCCGCGAGACGCCAAGAGTGGAAAAAGGATCTTTCGAAAACGTTCTACCACTTGTCGGACGGTTCGCGGGAGCAATTTCCCTTGAAATTTGGTTCGAGAGCTCCGGGGGAAAAAAGGTATAATTGGCAGCGAGGAAGAGATACTCCTGTGAGAAATTCGCAGAGTCGAGGACGAGGGGGAGGGTAACTTGTTAGAGAAGCTTTAGAAGAGAAACGCGAACCAGTTTTTCTAAACTTGCGGAAGTTGGTCACGGAAGGAGCACACGGAGGAATTTGCCTGGCTCCTTTCACAAGCCCAGCACTCGAGCCCAATTTGCGAAACAAGCGTCGTTCTCCGTCGGAGGAGCCGCTTTCCTTCCCATTGGGACGCGATCGCGGGGATCCCGATGACGTCGCGAGACTCCGCAGCCAGCCAATTTCGTTTACAATCTAACTCGACTGCCGAGGGAAGATGATCGAGAATGACATTGCTCTCCTTCCTAACCTTTGTTTCGTCGTTAGCCACTCGAGTCTTTCACCTCCTGCTTTTCGTTCGATCGAAAATTCGAAACAGCCAAGTTCTGGTTCTCAACCGCCATGAGATCGTGGAAGATGGTGGAACAAGATGGCGTATAAACGTTACCTGTGAATTTCGTTTGCCAAATTTCACCGCACTCGTCGGCAATTATCCAGCCAAGAGGATCGATTCGGAATCTGTCGACTGGAAATTGCGAAAGATCTCACGCGACTCGATAGCGGCGTTTGCGTTAAAGTTTCGCCGATGAATGGCGGAACAAAGGAACGCGTGCACTTGTTGATTTGGTTCGGCCCGTCTAAACGGTTCGTTACATGTTGCAACTACGCTGGATGGAGCGGGCGAGCGCGCGAAACCGCCTAAACAGCTTTATGCAAAACTCGTAATTCGCCAATTTCGGAACTCATCAGTATGCTAATGCCTGGCTGGCGCAGCACGTATCGTCTAGCCTTTGGCTTTCGGTCCAGCGGCCGGCAAGACTCTGAATCGGAAATACTCGGAAATCCGCGAGCGCCGGGACGAGCGCATCCTCGTTTCACGCTAATTTTCGAAACGAAGCGCTTTCGCGGAGGACTTTCGAATTAAGTCGCGATAATTCTTTCGGCGCGGTGGCCACCGAACGAACCGGCGATAATTCATCGAAATATACATCGGCTGGCGTGTAATCGGATCACACTTAATTACGCAGGGAAAATCAACAGTTAATGGGGAGAATTAGCGAACCGTTTACGCTGAAAGGTCGGCGGCACGGTGGGGGAGGAGGTTCGTAGGTTAACGAGGTTCGACGGCAAGTCTTGAATTTCGTCGCGTTCCCAAGTTTCGCCGTTTCGTTTGCCGCGCAGGAGTCAGGAGGCGAAACGAAAGTTGCTCGCTATTTAACTGCAACGTTACACGTGTAAACTTCGCCCCTGGCGAGCCAGCGTTTACCGTATTCGTTCCATATTTGTCGACGCGATACGTCAACGATACGTCGCGTTGTAGATTCGCGTCCCTTTACGTTAATCTTCGATACACTTCAGAGGTTCACAAAGCTGAAGGGTTAACTTATCGAACATTCTTCGACGTGAAAAATATGACAAATAGGTGGAAAAGGGAAATCTACCAACGTTTCTTCCAATCTTCGTTTCCCGGATAATCGCACGTTCTCAGCAGCATTGACACCGTCGCGAGCACAAGCTTCTTTCTGTCTGAAAATGCGTATGCTAAGGTAGATATAACCTCGGTAAAAGTGAAGATGCGAGTATCGGAGGTTCTGCTGGTTATTAAAAGGGTGGAGATGGTAGTTTTTGAAAGTTCGGACGTAGGTCCTCGAGGCCCAGGGATTAGCTAGTCCTCCTATTTTCGACCGACGTTCGAAGAGACACTTTTCGACGCACGGTCTGTCATTCTCGATAAAGTTTGTCGCGACTGGCGGTTCGACGAGGACGCCGCAAAATTACCGAAGCTTCTCAACGGTCTTCGCAATCGCAAAAGGATAGGGCGTACGCGAGAACGCGTAGGCAGTTTCTCTTCACCCTCTCTCGGCCTCCGCGCGTCTAGACGCGTTCGTCCCCGAGCAAAAACGACGTCGTACGGTTTTACGACTGCGGAGCGAGAGGCTAGCGGCTCGATGAAAGCTCGATACTATCAAAGAACGTCGGGAAACGTGGACGTCTTTTTAGCGCCTCCTTTCAGCGCGGAGCAAGAGGCTCCCTCGCGTCGAGCAGGTGCTTTAAATAGGCGTTTCTCTTCTTTCTCGGCGCAAAATGGAGGCAAACCACGGTGGGAAAATGGATGCAAACGACGGGACGTGGAACAACGGCCGGCTCGATTCGTATCTTCGATTCGTTTCGACGCGGAACAATTGGGTGATTATCGAGGGAACGGTGGAAACGATCGGGTAAAATAACGCAGGGTGTAAGTTAGTCAAATACAAAGCGCGCGCGCGAGTCGAAAGTCGGATTAACGAGATCAGCGGGATAGAGATTCGTGACGTCGGGCGTTTTTCGATAACTCGTGTGTAACGTTATAATCGGGATTTCTCGCCGCGCTCGAAAGAACAATCTACCTTCCGGTCTATATTAATCCATCCAAATGACCGTGTTTAATTTACGAAACACGTTGCCAGCGATATCCGGCCGGCCGCGCGGTACAATTGATATCGCGAATTCGATATGACGCGCTCCTCCAGCTTCCCTCTCTCGGCCCCGTGTTCGATTTATTCGCTTTCAGCGGTCGCGACGTTTGTTACGCAAGCGTTAATTAACAAGTGCATCCCGTTGCGTTCGATGCGGTAGGTGGTCCGTGGGAAATGATACGAAACTGTGCGTAGAGGATGAAATCGCGTGGGGAACGAGGAGGAGAGGAAAGAAGACGAAAGGTAACAGAGAGGGAGCATTGACGAATGTCGTCCGGCTCTTAGCTGGTGAGTTACGAGGCGACGAAACGGTTACGCGGATTCGGTTCGTTTCGAAAGGCGATAAATTCCACGGAACGGTTTATCCGTCATCGCGTCGCGTAGCGTCGTCACGCTGCAGGCGCTCTGTCACCCTCCACGCTTGCAAACCAAGTGATTGCGAGCTAGCTTCGTCCATCGCTTGGTCCAATTGCTTCGAGAACTCGCGAACAAAGAGACTAACCACGATCAACGTGTCCAAACTGTTGTTACGAATTTTTATTCACCCTCGAATGGTTTCGCGTGCTTTCCTAGTAACCGAAACGATTGGTCGATAGCGAAAGGTAGGAAATTGGACGATTGGAGCGCGAGCTGCGGCAACTGTCAACCGGAATCCGTAATTAGAAGACGGTTAAGCGTCGCTCTTCTACCGACGCTACCTCCACGCAGTCTCTGCCGTTGAGCGAAAACCTCGAAGAAAAAGGGTGTAGGGCTCACCTGTATCCAATAGGGCAGGTAAAATCCAGAACAGGCGAGGATCGATGCCACGGTGGACAGAGTCGCCCACAACACGCACAGCAATGTCATCTCATCGGTTTAAAAGCGTTCCTCCTCTGTCTCCGCTGTCTCCTCCTCTCTACTCGCGCATGATGAGCGAACGCACCGAAACTGCCGCTTAATCTCGAGCAGGATTCGAATTTTCTCTCTCCGGAACCAGCTTCCCCGATGTTTGCTCTGCTCGTCGCGCACCGCTTCTCTTTGTCGACACTCGCGGAACGCACTCGACGCGGATTGGGAACCTCGAGGGTCCTCCTGGCTGTTCTCTTTCCGCGCGGGTTTCACCGGCAACGCGAGAAGCCGCTGTGGTTTTTCTCGTTAGACCACGTCCTCGTGAAATCTCTTTATTTCCATTCGAAGTCACTTTGCACACTGCAAGAAAGGAGCACGCTATTCTTTCTCTCTCTCTCTCTCTCCCTCTTTCTTTCTCTCTTCTGTGTGTGTGTGTGTGTGTGTGTATGTGTGTGTGTGTGTGTGTACGTGTACGTGTGTGGCGTGTTTGCGGTTTAGGTTTTTAGGCTGGTCGCGCGAGAACGTCGCAGACGCCGGCAGATGAAAATAGACCGGTTAATAGGTCGTTCCACGGAGAGGGCCGGACAGACTCACGGTCAAGGTTCGCGGTAGCCGTGTTTGCGCGCACTATTCGTGTCCCCTGGACAGAGCACTAGCAACTACGATCCATCTTTCATCCTGTGCGTCGCACTGTCTGTTACAATTAGACCACCGATAGTTATCGAGTTCGAAGATCGGATATCAGATTAAGAACGCACACGTTCCTCGGGAGGCGGCATCGTCACCGGCAGCCGCGCTCGAAACCGACCGAAGAGTATCTGTGGCCGCGCTCCGGCGAGAGGCAGCGTCGCTCTCTCGTTAATTATAGCCGGAGCGCGCGGAATCACGCCGCACGTTCGTCGACTCCCGAGAAAAATTCACCGCGTCGCTGCTCCATCCCGTTGCGTTCGCGCGCGCCGAGTTCGCCTTTAGGGAAGAGAACGGGAGGGAGGGGGAGATCTCGAAGAAAGAGATCGGAAACGTTCCTTCCGGACTCACCGGGCGAAACTTTAATTATAGAACGCGCGACGACTCTCCTCTCGGGCTTTTTCTCTCCGCGTCGATCGCTCGGAGGGAGCGAGCCAGCGAACGAATCGGAGATACAGAGGCAGACAGAGAGAGAGAGAGAGAGGAGAGAGGCGGCCGAGTGATGGTGCTCGGCGCCGCTTCGTGACTGCGACTGAACCGAGAACCGGAGCGGCGGCTCGTTCCGTGTCTGACGGCCTCGCGGCGCGGCGCGCGCTCCGCCTTCCCACCCCCTGGCCATCTGGCGAACATGTGTGCGCGTGCTGTGGCCGCTGCGGCTCCTTCGCCTCCGCCGCCGCCTACCTCCTGCGCCGAGCCCTCGACCTGCTGCCCCTACCGATACCAACGGACACTCGCCCTTCGCCTTCTCTCCTCGCTCTTTCCAGATGAAACGAGGCTGTAATTTTAACATCGCCGACTAAATAGTTTCGCTACCTGTTCCTCACTTTTTTTACGTTTCTTGTACGCGTGCGGCCAACTTTCCCTCTCTTCCAGCTTCTTCAGACTTTTAGACTGTTGCCTTCGTCCTCGAGTGGCCTAAGAAGCTCGCGAAGGCCTGTTTTCTACAAATTTTCAGTTTCCACCACTTTCTCCATTTCAACTTCAGTCACGTTAACACGCGCGTCAGTCTAGTGCCGTCGTCCAACTACAATCCCACGCTTAGGACCGCCGCAATAGTTTACATTCCACTGGAGTTATTTATTGTAATAAACAACTTATAAACATTACGCGTTGTTTTCTCACAATTGATCAAAACTTTCTAAAAACCCCTACACCTACACCACAGTCAGCCGAAGAGCAAGTTGTACGCTCATCGCCACTGTCGATATTGATAAACTGAGGTGTACGTTAGATTTATCAGTCAGTTAGATACAACAAAAATTAATCTAAGGCCTTACTAGGAAGTATATATTACTTTTGTATGCGTTCGGAGAAATCCGTTTAGCCTTACCACCTCTGTTTAGTAAAGATCTAAATGTTTATGACACGTGACAAAAAGGCCCTTGCGGGGTCGTAGGCAATATTAGGGCGTTGCGTAGGAGCATTCTCAGTCTGTATACAGTGCTCTTACCATCAAGTAGAAAAGCGAACCTTCCTTGTGTCTAATAAAAGTTTATAGTTTAAAATAAGGATTATTAATTATTCAACAACCAATAACTCCCATAATCCAATAGTGTAAAAATCGAGACTGTGTTTCCTCGCCCACCTCACGCGTTCTACTGTTACGTCGCAATGTAGGTGAGATGAAGAGAAACTCGCAAGTGTTCTTTGACACGTTCGCTACAAAATGCATCGTACAAAATGCACAGTCTGAGTATTTAATGAATATTAGGTGTGTATAAGTGTAGGCCGCCGTCGTATTGCGTAAAACTGATCGAAATATAGATATTAAGAATGTAAACGAAGATAATTCGAAGGATATGGGACGGTGTGAGCAAGGAGCGATGGGTTTAAAGAGTGTCGAGGTTTTACCTAAGGTAGGGTACTCGAACTCGCGGTCCGAATCAACTTCTGTTGTATTCCGCGACTCGCGATTCTTTGCGTTGGTTTATTATTTTCAATAAGTACGCGGTAGGAGAGCCTGACGGAAACTGGGGCGAAATAAGGATGCTATTCTGCACGTAGTACTATTCGACTTTATTCGACTGTTCGGTGACGTTCGGTGCGTGAAGACCGCTAGACAGAAATCTGCTGTTTCGACGGAAAAGGTTTCTAGATATAGGTTCGGTAAGTACGAGAGTAGGGGTTGGTCTCAGAGGTCAATGTAGGGAGAGGCGGTGAGGTCTAGGTTCAGCGATGAGTAAAGGATGATGTGGAGGTTTAGGTTTCGGGGTGACTAACGTTAGGATGATGCGGATTTGTTTACGGTTAAGGAAAGGAGGCAGGATGACTAAAAACTAACAAAAGATAGGAGAGAGGTATACGACACTTCTTTCAAACGCGAATAGTAGTTGCGTTCGCAAGAAATTAATACCGTAAGGGTGATGCGAGGTGGTGAAAGAACGCCGAGTATTCAGCTACTCTATACACTTGTATAATTTCACACGTGCTTATTTTTACGAAGCTTGCGATGTGTTGCTTGGCGTACTGTTTCTTGCGTGTCGGAGTGTCTGTGTATGGTAAAACATAATTTTGGTGTGAACGGTGGAAGATGGAAATAAGAAATCGAAAAATGCGGAAATGGGTGATAGAAAAGTCTAATAGAAGGAGAAGCGAGGGTCGACGAAGTTTGAGAACTGAAGAGATGTCGGAAAAACTGGGAAAAGCAAGAAGGATGGTGAAAACGATCAGATAGCGTCTTGACCCGGTTCTACGGCAGGGCCTTGAAATTAGAAATCGAAGAGAATTCGTGTATACCCTTTGCAGTTCCACTGGTCGATCGGATGCGCAACCGAACGCTTGTCCTCTTAGAGACCCACAGAGACGAGAGCGCGAGCACGGATAGACAAAGTTTGCGCAAGGTTTTTCGAAGAGCTGTAGCAACCACTGTTACGCCGTACGATAAATCACGCACAGCTCCGAGCGTTGTTTTCAACATGGAAATGCGGAATTTTGGCTCAAGTGGCAAGTTTTCCGCAGCTGATCCGGCAGAAGAGAGGGAAGAAATCGGATGAAACGGCTCGTTAGCGTTAATTCGCAGCCGCTGGTTCGTTCGCTGTGTTATTTTGCGATGAACCGTTAGTGGACTGGGTAACGGTGTAATCTAAACACCCCACTCGTAGCGTAGTTTCCACGCGTTCGTTACACCGAGAGTCGGGTGAAAAAGCCGAAATTCCGGGAAATAATTAGCGTCAATGTTACAGTTGCTAATGACTGTATTGTTTCGCGATGCCGTGTCGCGCGACGTTAAACGCGTCGCGTCGCGTCCCCTCCTACCTACCCCACTCGCGGATTCAACTCGACCATTCCTGAAATACCGATCCGTTAGATTAACGCGATTTTTCCATTTCTGCCAACGAGAGCCGCGTAAATGAAACGAATTCGACCCCCGGGTGAAAACGTATCGCGTGTTCTACGATGGTTGGAGGGAAATTCGTTGGTTCGCGACCTGCCCCACGCGTTGCGCCGTTGAAGGTTCGCAGGATGTACTCGCGGAGCGGGTGTATTCGTCGGGCATGTCGGGAGTGCGAAATTGAATTTTCTTCGTCTACATGACGGGGCGCGCTCGACTAGAGCGTGGAGCACGTAAAAGTGTCGCGAGGAGAAGGTTCACAACCCGGACCAGTCACGTTCCACGGGAGAATAAATACGAAATAAGTAAATAAACGGGGCAAACGTTGGCCCGGCTTCGGCTAGATCTCGATACCGTTCGAAATCGGAACCCTACGAAACGAGCGTCGAATGAGAATATTTCTTTTTTTCTTCTTCCCGTTTCCGAAATATTCCCGGTGATTCAATTCTGGACGAAACGACTTTCGAACCGAGGGGAGAGAGAGAGAGAACGGTTGGTTTCCCTGGAATTTTCCACGTTTCCGCACGGAGGAGAGATCACAAGGCAAGCGGATGATGGTTCGTATAGACAAAACAGAAATACGAAACTCACGGTGGTCGTGGTCCGCTGGAATTTTCCTCGCGTTCCCTCGATTCCTATAGGAATACCAGGTATATGCATGTACGTCGCGTAACCGAACAGGAGGGACAGGCTGCTCTGCAAGTCCAAGTTGGCCTGTCGCGAATTTTTTTTTCCCTTCGTTTTACGCCAGAACTCTGGAAATACGCGCGGGCACACACACGAGGTTGCCGCGTGCCTATTCGAGTGTCGAAATTCGACGGGAAAACGGTGTCGACGTAATTGGTAGAGAGCTAGCCGTACGGGCATTGATGAAAAGCCAAACAGCAAAGCGCTAAGCGAAACGTTTTCAAAGGGTGAAAAGGGGTTGAAACTGGCACTGCGGAGAGAGATAGAGAGGGAGAAAGGACGAAGGGGATTTGAAACGTTGAACGTTACACAG